CAATAAAGATTGACTTGACTTGGCTTTTTAGACGGTAGAACGAAGAAGGAAGGGGGGGGGGGTCTCGCCCACTGCAAACTTAAACAAATAAACATGTATTTCCTAAGTTTCCGTACCTTCTGACGCAGGTACAAGTTGTGTGTTCTAGTCGATACGTGAGAGAACAATTAGAAATCACGTCAAGAAGGCATTTTTGTCTGGCCTTTTTCCCAGCGGGCAGTGAGATATACATATGTAATAACCTGTATGTAAATAACGTGAGACATACCGCGGGGTAACAGACGCACACGCGAAACTAAACAAACGTATCGCTGACGTCAAAACGTCTCACTGACTCACACATCACAATGTACCGCTCAGGACTTCCACAACAACACAAACAACACTTCGAAGTCTCTGTGCTGTATGTTCTTATTTGTCACTTAATGTAGCTGTGCTTTCTGTGAAGTGATTCACAGTTAGTGGTAGTTCTGACAGACAAAATGACGCAAGGTACGTTAGCCCTGGGGTAGAAAAATAGTGCCCATATTCAAAGCTGTAACACATTTGTCACTATGTGTTAACTTTTCATGCCAGTAAACTAAACATAGCTTTAGGTCAGTTGTTCAAGCATTAGGAAAATTCCGTAATGTATATTTGCTCCAAATAATCGAGTGGGTGCACTTGAATTTTCTTTGTTCTTGGTAACAGAACAATGTTGAGAAAAACTATATACCCCCTGGCTGATATACTGAGGGGGTGTGATCATGTTCCCAAAGATAAAGTTTATTGATTGCCCCCTTGGGAATTAAAAGCTATGCTCATACCTAGATCATACCTAGTCTGAAGAGCTGCCCAAACTGGAGCAGGGCTCCTACCCGGCTTGAACAACTCTACTCTACTCCAGTAGCAGCTACCAATTTCATGACTTTTTCAAAACTTCACAGGGTTCTAGATCTATTGGCAACTCTGTATAAGTACTTTCCATGTTGTGTTCTACACCTGTTATATGAAATTACAACATTTAGATAAAAAGTTTTCTTTTTTTTAAGTTTCAAACCAGGTCGATTAACTGGCCCTTCCCCTCAGAACGTCTGTTACCTTTCGGATTGGGAGTCCCCCCCCCCAAAAAAACAACTTCCTCACCCCCCCCTCAGGTTTTACACTGACTCATGTTTCTACAGAAAGTCGACCCCGTGACGTCTTGTCCCCGTGTTGACGTCCGAACTCACCAAGCGGGACCACCAGCCAAACAAAAGCGGTCCTCTCTCGGTCTGTCACCCGACCCAGCCGGGCAGTGTTGACCCTGTATTTTTAGTTCAACCCGCCCACATCTTCGCTCCATTGTTTATTGTGGTCGCTAGGAAGGCGTTGAAAGGGCGACAACGCACCTGTAGACACACCCTCTCTCTCTTCTTACAGGTATTGTCCCGGCAAACACACCACCAAGGACCAGTAAGGGTACTTTGGACTGTTTTCAACTCAACAATATCTTAAACACACACATACGCCCCCTCATTTGGCATAGGTTACCTGAATGTTCAGTCTCTGGTAACGTTACAAAACGGTTAATATTTTTCTCGAGTTCTCCCAACAGACACACAATAATTCGCGTATATATATCTCATTGTACTGAGTTAGCGTCACTATTCAACAGTAACCTGTGGTCAACCTTTTGCCACTGTAAACTTTGGAATATTTTACTTTTTACATTAGAGTACTATTTCTAGATCACAGTACCGACATGTTCGTTGTTCCAGGGGAGTTCCTTACCCACTTGGTTTTTCTTATAATGCCCACGGTCATGACAATGATCATACTCATTAACGCATGAGTGAAGTGAGGAAAGTCGTGTAAAGTGCATTTTCCAAGGGCACAAAGTTGATGACATGGCAGGATTCGAACCCGGAACCTCTTGGTTCTGAGTCGAATGCTCTGCCGTTTAATGCCACACGACCCCACACTCAATGCATTCAGTGGCAAGTCATCTAGCACCAAGAGCAGAATTGTGTCAGAGGTTCGTGCAGTGGATAAGGCGGCATCCTTTCCTATTAAACAGTGCTACTTCCTGAGCGTGTGCAGGTGGCAGACAGACACTCCGCCACCCCGCCGCTGACAGCGTGACGTCATGAGCAGCCCTCTGACGTCAGCCGCAGACGACGTTTCGTTACCCTGAGACGATTCCTCAGCCTCCGCTCGTTCCCTGATGTCGATAGAAGGTGCCAGTCACGCCGATAAATCTGGCGGCCTTGTCAGCCCGGCTTTGTGCAGATCAGTAGCGGGGATTTTCGGCTTAGTTCCGACGGGATTTTGAAGGGTAAACTTGGCAACTTCTTGGCAAGACGCAGTCTCGGGAAAGGCAAAGGCATCTTATGCAATTTCAGGGCGGCAAAGCAAAAAAAAAGTACATATATATATATTTTGGATGAGGAAATTTGTCTGATACAGTATGCCATTTCTTAGCACATTTTTGTATCACTTCTGTATCATTTGGAATAGCCCCGAAACAAGCTTCGTGCGGCGTCTCTTTATTTATCACATTACAGATACAATATAGATTGATTCAACTTACTACATACGAATTCGGCAAAAATCAGGGGTGGCAGAGTATACAGTGCCATTTTACCGGTAAGATTGCACTGTACATATACTAATACGATTGCACTGTATTCCGTAAGATTGCACTGTATACTAATACGATTGCACTGTATTCCGTAAAATTGTATACTAGTAAAATTGCACTCTATTCCGTAAGATTGCACGGTATACTAGTACTCTGGCACATGCACCTGAAAATAGGGTGAATGGTTATCCAGGTCAATGCCACAAAACACGCATAAAATAGAGACTATCATTTTATTTTGATTAAATTTCTAATTTTCAATCAGATATTTGGTAGGGAAGAATATCAGCCTGAGGAGGGGGGGGGGCGTTGTTCATGTTGTAAAGTCAGAAAACAGTCACGACGTTTGGAAACTACAGCAGTCTGCTCAGATATTCAATTTCGTCCTCCGCACGCCCGCGGGAAACTTAATATCTGGTTCGAAGTCGATTCGTTACTTAGTTGATGTTTCACCGGCTACTTACTAAACCCAATAAAAACCCTGGGTATTATACTAACCAATCAGGAATGATGTTACAGGAAACAAATTACTAGTAACAAAATCGTGGTTTCAAACATGACCAAACAGCAACAAATTGAGTTTCCCGCCATTGTTTCCTCACGGAATCGAATAAACGGCCATCGATTTCGCTCAAATTTGTCGCCATGACAACAAAGCCGGATCCACTCCTAAAGTGATCATTGTGATCCCACGGAGATCTCATGAACAAGCAGGCGCGCCCTCTCTGATGGGGGATGATTTCCCGCCAAATTACAGGTGGAGATTGTTGCATATCACAGGCATCCAATGCAATTCCAGGGCTACAAAACAAACAAAAATATTGTGGATGAGCAAATTTGTCTGATATAGAGACATACTACAATTTCTTAGCACATTTGCCGGGATCGTTTCATACTAGACGCCTTTGCAATAGCTAGCCCAAAATCAAGCTATTTGAGGAGTCCTTTTAGTTTTGGGTGCCACAAAATGACATTTGCGGCGTATCAAAGGCAAACTTATCCCGAAAAATTAACGTCCTCCACTAAGGAAGAGGACAATCTAATTTTTCCCCACATACAACCGTAAGATGATCACAAGGCTTTCTTGAAACTAGTCCGCGTCATTTCTAATCAGTCTGTATGATGTAGAAAAGGGGGTGTTTATTAATTTCGTGGGAGACTTCAGAACTTTTGATCAGGTCTTGTATAACCCGTGACAGGGTGCACCCCCGCTCGTTAGCCTCGTTGCAGGCGTTCCCGGTTCTTTTTTTTTCCCGGTTCGGTGTTGGTGGTTTTTTTGGGGGGGAGGGGGCGCTTATTTGCACCGTGCCTGCTCTAATTTTTCTGGAGAGGCAAACTAGTGGCTTAGCGCGGGCCAACTTCCCTGACATATCATCTGTCTATTTGGCCAATTTCTACTTTTTTCCGGCCGCTTCCCGAAGCCTGGTAGAGGCTATAAATCAGCGCCTCCCTCAAAAACATCGGCTGCTCTGACGCCTGCAGAGGAGGTTATGATATATAGGCGGGCGTGGGAGTGAAGATTATATCATGATTATTCTTCCGCTCCTTACAGAGGTGGACGTGGAATTATCGCAATTTTGATGTTCATTCCCCAGTACTAGGGTTCTAATCAGTGGTGCATGGTATATTTGCCGTCCTTCGCCTTCACACTAAAACATAGCGTTTGAATTGAGACGATGGTTTCTGTGAGGTATTACATACGTAGGACTCTTGAGTAGTGCGGCTGACGAAATTAATCGAGTCTTTATGATATGACACAAATATTTTCGAAATTTGGCCAATATCTCTTCAAGTTCTTCGATCTTTGCTTTTTAAAGATACCATATACACCAGGCGTGAACCTGAACTTGGCTGGAATGGAGACAAATCAAGCAGCGTCATTGTTTACTAAACTTGAGCTTGGCAGCAAACCAACCAAATCTCCTGTTCCGACTAAATTCAAACCCTAACAGGTGTGACGCATAGAATTTCGCACCTAGCTTGGCTATCTTATTGTCCGTAGAATTCCCTGTTCAGCCGTCAATGAGATAAGATGCACTGAAATGTCAGAGACGTCTGTCTTCCCACCAAAAATAGCAACCGAGACAAAGGGCCTGGTACACAATAGCAGGGCACTGGTGTATCACGACAATGGGATGAGAACTAATGATATCTGGGGATAACATAATATTACTTCGTAATTTTTGTGAGGAACTTCCTCACTCACTATATACATACCTGTTGTTAAGTATTGCCGGGTACTGCTCTGTTATGTCTGGCTCATTAAGCCCAAGTCTAATGGGAAAACAATTTGTTTCCATGTAATAAAAAGGATGGGAAATTTTTCGAAGTCTTCCAGGCTACAGTACAACAGTGACCTCTAGCGATACATGTAAACAAAGAACACTGCTGCTTCTGCCCGTGTTGCATTGTGGGTAGTCGCCACCAATCCGCCATCTTCGGGTCACTTCAGGCATGGCTTCCCTGGTCAGCAGAGTTCCCAGACTTTTCCAGGCCGTTGGCCGCACTCTGGCCGCTCAGGCCACCAGGGGTTACGCTGACGCGGCGGCTCCGGTCGGGATGTCGTTCACTTTTGGGTCTCCGGGCGCGGTACGTGCTGTTAAAGTTGTATATTTCAGGGAGAACCTAGTCACCTTGAACGGTGCTTCTGTTCTAAGGGGGAGGGCGGGTTCCGGTTTGGTGGTCATCAGGTCAACTCAAAAACGTTTAAGGAGAATTTATCTGCTTGTAGACGATCCTTGTCGTCAAAATAAATACATTTTATTTCCAAGAGTAAGTGATTTTTATGGTGTTTATACAAGACACTTCGAGAATCATAAGATAGGCGAATCAAAAGGTGTAACGCTTACATATCAACATGGAGGTGGGTGATTTTTTACCTCCATCAGAGCTAGCGTATGAAACGCCGATTTCAGGACCCGAATGCTACCTGTCCATCATCCATGATATGAAATTTTTAAATAATGTATATATAACAGATAACAGTTGTGTATGCTTCAATATAGCGGCTTTCCTTGGTACTGCAGCAGAACTTCTGGTTCGTGATCCGGATATGCTATAGGGTCACGATTTTAAGTTGGTAGAGAGCCCTTGTTATGTATGTTACATGTTGTTACAATACTTCTCACTGTTTCTCTGCATCATCAGGCGTTCTACAATGCTGCAACAAACGTGCGTCAGGTAGACGTACCAACGTTCTCCGGAGACATCGGCATCCTGCCCAGTCACGTTCCCACGCTCGCCGTACTCAAACCTGGACGCCTCTCTGTCTACGAAGATGAGGGGAACGTCAATCACTTTGTTGGTGAGACATAAAATGAAGTCTTCTTAAAGTAAACTAACTTAAAGCTCATTATGTATAGGACGTTCCAAAAAGTCAATATTCATCTATAGAGAAATTTTGGGATGGAAACCTGTCTTTTTACCCATTTTTGTAAATCTTTTGTACTTGAAACATTTTGTACTTTGTATGAGAATTCATTTAAGGGATAGAGAGTATATCTTGTATTAAAGCAAACATGAATGCACTGATGTAAAGAGTGCACAAATGCACTGCATAATTTGCTTGGTCATAATATCCTCAAAGATTGAACCAGCCATCCTTAGTTCACAAGTATTGCTGTGTACTGACCTGTTCCCCCCTCCCCCAGTGAGCAGTGGTTCAGTCACAGTGAATGAGGACTCCTCTGTGCAGATCCTGGCAGAAGAGGCATGTCGACTGGAGGACATTGATCCTGGGGTAAGTCATTTATGGAAGTGGAAGCCCCTTACCTGTGACACTGTACTTATTTTAAGTTATTTGCAGCAGTTGGAGGTAAACTTTCTGACAATTTGTAGTAATAATTGTGTGTATTCCACAAATAGTTTATCAGGTTGGTACTAACTCAGTCACTCTTTTTACACAACCACAAGGTTTATTCAGCTGACGTTTCGGTGACCTGTCACCTTCCTCAGAACAATTCTGAATGGTTCACATCACGTTTTCCTAAACACTTGGTCACCAAGACGTCAGCTGAATAAACACTATCAAAAAGCATTGTGCCAAAACATTAGACATTCTCGAACACTGCTTGCTCCTGCCAAGTGTATCACACTCTGTATAGAATTAGTGTTTCATGTACAATGTAGCAGTTTACCAGTTGCAGTAGAAATGTGCAGACAGAACACTGGAGTGGGGCTAAGAAGGGAAGATTTGACTTTGATTAAACAATTTTATTTCAGATTATTATGCTTTAGCAACTGACTTGTGTTTTGGTAGCTAGTTCTCTGGTGAATCATCTTATTCCTGTTTTGTTCCAGTTGGCGCGTTCTGGTCTGGAGAAGGCGCAGCAGCAGCTGAGTGCGGCTTCGACAGATGCAGAACGTACTGAGGCACAGGTGGCCATCGAGTTCCACGAGCAAGTGGTCAAGGCTATAGAGTAACAGGTGCGTGACTCAGCATGGAAATCATCTGTGTTGGTCGACAACAATATAAACAGAGGAATGAAATTTGTAAGACCATCATCATCATCATCATTAATTTGTAAGACAAACACTGGAATGAATTTGAAATTGACTAGCATGAAAATCATCTGTGATCAGATGGTAGACTACATTATGAACGGAGGAATGAAGATTATAAGACCAACACTGGAATGAATTGGAAATTGACTACAGGGTTCTAAATACCCATTCTTGCCACGCAAGTCATGTTTTGTGTGCGACACTCACTTTCATGCTAGACTTTGTTGAGTTAATAATTGAGGATTTTTTCCTTGTATTTCTGTTGAATCTGTGTAAGTATAAAGACACAGGTGGTATTTTCAAGGAGATATTTTTGATTTTCATTTCATGTTTTGACAATGTTCTTCTTTTGTCTTGCAGATTTGCAGAGTGCTGGGTTTGGCTGTCCCTGTCCATTTATCACTCGATTTGTCGATGTATGAAGTAGTATGAATCAACTTAAAGATATTCAGGAACTTCTACGTATTATTGCATTGACTACCTTCACAAAAGAAATAAAAGTATGTCTGTTGTCACCTTATGTTTGTTTGTGTCAATTTTTCCTTTTATGTGTGAGTTCATAGTAGGGCCACAGCAACTAAATTTTATGGATGACATCCTCAGCAGACTCCAAATCTAATGCGTTAGGGCAAAAAAAATGCAGGCTAAAATAACAAGATTCCTACATTTTCATTTTTTTTTCCAATTCAAATTCTTTATTTCCACACCAACATTACAGACAAGCAATATGGAATTATAATGGTGCCTGAATGGCATTGGTATTGGCATTTTACATTATAAACCCACGTACCCACCCACATACACACTGTACCCACCCACCCACGTACCCACCCACATACACACTGTACCCACCCACCCACGTGCCCACCCATCCACATACACACTGTACCCACCAACCGACGTACCCACCCACCCACATACACACTGTACCCACCCACCCACGTACCCACCCACATACACACTGTACCCACCCACGTACCCACCCACATACACACTGTACCCACCCACCCACGTACCCACCCACATACACACTGTACCCACCCACGTACCCACCCACATACACACTGTACCCACCCACCCACGTGCCCACCCACCCACATACACACTGTACCCACCCACATACACACTGTACCCACCCACACACGTGCCCACCCACATACACACTGTACCCACCCACATACACACTGTACCCACCCACATACACACTGTACCCACCCACACACACACTGTACCCACCCACATACACACTGTATCCACCAACATACACACTGTACCCACCCACATACACACTGTACCCACCCACCCACGTGCCCACCCAC